TGGTTAAGATTTTCTTTTAAACTGAAATTTAAAATTATCAAGTGCATAGATATACCTAAATTGTCGACCAATAGAAAGGGTCTTTATGGTCCGTCCGTCTTGAGCGTCTCCATTTTTAGTTATGACCGAACATTTAGGGAAAGTTTAAAAGTGATATTCGTGATCAGCATAGTCGACTCAGTATGACTAGATGGCTTCGAGCAGAAAAAAAATAAAACGCTTTCTAGAAACCCTGTGGGGAACTTCGGGCCACTTAGTTCTCAGGTCCCACATCTTTTAAAACGAAACGAGTAAGAATTGGGTAGTGAAGGAGGACAATGTACATCTCAGGGCTTAAATACACTGTCAATAATCTTTCATACTAACTCATTTAACTCACTTAAATCAACTGAAAATATCATTTTTCTAAATGAAATTTGCATTTGTATAATATGTCTGAATGTTTCGTGATAACACGGACCGAAATAATCAAATTTTATAGATAATTCTAAAAGCCGAGTACTTTTATCCAATTTTTTTAATAATTGACAAAAACACATTGGATCATAGTCGATATTAATTAAACATAATTTTTTTATATTTGGAAATAATACTTCTGATCTTAAATACCATATTTGTAATATTTCATTTGCAATTATCATATTATTGTTATTAAGTGTAATAATTACAATATATTTATGTAACTGATGTTGCAAAATATATCGAAATTTTTCGTGTGTAACATTGCCGACAGTTGGAAATGAACTGAAAGAGTCTAAAGTATGTTTGAATAGCTTATTATTTGTTATAATTTGTTGAAAACGTATATTTAAGTTATTGAATGAATAATAAATATCGAATGTTTCTAAACATTTTAAAATTCCTATTAATATTTCATTTGGTAATATTTCAATCGTTAACCTTCGACTTTCCATATTTATACGTTGAAAAGTTAGATAAAATTTATTAATATTTTATTCACATTCTTCCATGCAAAATAACGAAAAAAAAGATAAGAAAACATTCGAGGTAGGCTGTTTCGGCAATGGACGGTGATATTTTTATTTATGTATATCAGCTTTTAATTTTTTTCTTCGTGCAATTTGTTCACTGAGTCGTCTCAGTCACAGAGAAAACTCAGTATATATGTAGCTATTCCTTTTCTGTTTCTTTTTATGTTGGGATACTGTGATAATTTTTGTCGTTCTTCTAATCAGAACAGAAAGAAGGAAACAAATCTCTAGATCATTAATCTATAAACTTTTAGTAATACACACCAATGAAAAAGAATCACAATGATTCTGCCAACAACGATACTCCAGACCGTTCAGTCTATGCATTGGAATTCAGCGTGTAGTTACGGTCAGAAGTTCTGAAATTTTTCTGAAATTCTGACATTGTAAACATTTTGAAATTAAGAGTGTATTCACAGTGTGAGATTCTGAAATTCTAAACATTCTTAAATTCAGAGCGTAGTCACAGTATGAAGTTCTCAAGTTCTTTTGAAATTCAGACACTGCTAGAACAACGGGCATAGCTTAGGAAAACCTCACTGATCGATGAGATCAACAAAGAATATGGTGAATGTGCCATATCAATCTAAAAGAAAAAGACTACTGAATTCTTTCTCGACGAGTCATATAGTCGTGCGAATACAGCCGTCAAAAGATAGAAAGTTAGCCGTGAACGGTCATGTACATTGTACGACCTTATGACTATTTAGGGATATACATCGGTGGCGGAACGTCTTGAAACTAAGACAGGCTCATAGTATTTCTATTCTTCATCAAAATTTTGTGGAAAGGTGACGCATACCTGACCACCATTATGTAACCCAAGCATGAGACGCCCACCACGAACAATATCTTTAAGAGAAGTGCATAATTGGTACATTAAGAGCCAGAAAATTATTCTTGTCTACTCGTCAGTCCTCAGTCTAGAAACATGTTTTCCATAAAAACCTGAATTCTTCTAACCATTCTTTACAAATAACGACGGTTCAACTTGAAAAAAAGGTTTTCCGGCTTCATCAGATAGTTTTGCGA